CTAGCCTCTACTCTGGGAAAGGAGGGGTCAGCGTGGCTGTGGGGTCAGGGAGCGGGACTCCTGGGTCCCCTTCCGCCCCCCATGTCCAGTCTCTCGAAGGGCCCTTCGCCTCTGGGCCCAGGTCCTCGGCCCACAGCTCTCGCCTCCGAATTTGCTGCTGGAGTCGCTCCGGACAACGAAGCGTTAACGCCCCTCCCTGTCCCGAGCCGGGCTCGGCGCCGCGAATCCGGAGTCACACCGGGCTCGGGCCCGAGCTGCGGAGGGGAAATGACACGGCGCGCCGCTTCCTGGGGTGAGGGAGCCGCGGCCCCAGCGCTCGCTGCCTCCCCGGCGCTCACTCGGCGAGTCGGGGAGCCAGGGGCGCATGGCCCGCGGCGCGATGGACCGGTGCTCAAACCACAGCCCCGCGGGTGAGTGCGGGGGCCCGGCCTAGGGGCTGAGATCCGGGGCCCGGGGCGGGCCGAGCTGCCCGCGCTCCGGACCGCCCGGGGCCCGCTAACAGGGCTGGGGCTGGAGGGGGCGCTGTGCGGGCGGGTGCCGCGGAGGGTGGCTGTGGGGTGTGAGGCGGGGGTCGGGTATATGGGGGTGGGAATGCAGGTGTTTAAGGGTCCCCGGGGAGGGGGTGTATTATGGGGAGGGTATGGCCTGGGGAGGCAGATGTTTGAGAGTCCATGGGGTATATTTTGGGGTGCAGGAGCTATGGGGCAGCTGGAGGGTGCTCTATGTTTGAAGGGGTGGGGGGTGGGGGGTTGGCTGCTTGAAGGGCATTCTGGGCTATATGGACAGGGGTGTACGTTGTGCGGGGGGGGTCTGTGGTGGAGAATTTGCTGCTTGGGGAGGGGGTGTGGATTCAGTGGGCTTGTATGTAAGCAGAGTGCTGGGGGTGTGCAGGAAGTCAGAGTTGCAGGGGCTGCATGTTCGGGGAGGTGAAAGCTTTTCCTCCTAGGAGAGAGTTTGAGTTTCTTGCTTGGGGGCCTCCATCTCTGTGACACACCCCTCCCCCTAATATCCAAACCTGACACAATCCCCTGCTCCATGCACCACTTCTCTTCCCTGTGACAGCCTCAGTAATTGCCATGGCTTTATCCATTTCACAGATGGAGGAACTGAGGTCCAGAAAGAGTCCAAAGGGGACACACACAGAACTGTGAATAAACCCAAGTGCTGGTTCCTAGTGCCCCGCAACCCACAATCTCTCTCTCTCTCTCTCTCTCTCTCTCTCTCTCTCTCTCTCTCTCTCTCTCTCTCTCTCTCTCTCTCTCTCTCTCTCTCTCTCTCTCTCTCTCTCTCTCTCTCTCTCTCTCTCTCTCTCTCTCTCTCTCTCTCTCTCTCTCTCTCTCTCACACACACACACACATATATATCCTGGCTGAAGCAGGCTCCCAGTCTAGTCCCTTAATGGCAAAGATGCCTCCTTTCATCTCTGGACAGGCTGATGAAGCGTGTGATCGGGTTGTGCCCCCTCTCTGCAGGATTCTTGGCTCCCCATAGCACCCTGGCATTCCTCCTCCCTGTGAGAATCAGGGCTTCCTATCCATCCTGAAGCTAGGAGGAAACCACTGCTTTGGCCCCGCTACTGCACCAGCCATAGCCAAAGCAGCCCAGCCTAGAGACATGGGTGTGTATGTGTCAGGTCAGAACTAGGGGGAGCGGAGGAGGCAGGGTCTGTCTGTGCTCCTCCCCCAGCTCTGTGGGGTTCCCCTGCCATCTGGCCACTGGTCTGGTGGGGCTCCTGGCTGGAGTCTGGCTTTGCTTAGAGCAGTCCACACTGGGTCCAAAGGTCCCATCAATCCTGGCCTCAGGCTGCTTTCTCAACCCCACCCTGAACCCCCTCCTTGTGTTGGGTCCTAACTGGCAGGGAGGTAGGGACCTCTGTGTAGCTTGGGGATGCCCATCTGGGGTGCAGGAATTAAAAGGCCCCTTTGTCCTCATGCTGGCTCCAGCCAGTCCCTGTGGGGTTCATGTTGTAGCATAGATCCCACACCCAGCTGGGAATCCCAGTGGTGCTGGAACTAGGAGTGCTGATGTCCTGCTATATCCCCTGCCTTGAAGTAGTTACCCAGGGTTTCCATGGTCAGCAATGCCACTATAAAAATTGTCCCAGCAACCTTGGGGAATCCAGAGAACAGAAGCCCTACGGGGTGCGACCCCAGTGGGACAGGACCAGGACTGACGTGTATTGGCCAGGGTAGGGGATGCTGGGTTCACAAATTCAAGGCCCCCCCCCACTCCAATCTCATCTCCCTAGATGCAGCTTGTCCTATTGATGACATCAAACCTAAGTTGGGCCCAGCACAGAGCCCATGTAAACAAATGTGCTGCTGGTGGTGGGAAGCCAGGAGAGAGGAAGTGCCTAACTCAGCCCCACACTCCTGTAGGCCTGCCCTCCCCCACCAGCTCCAGGCCTATTCCCCAGGCATGTCCCTGGACTCCTCACCCAAGCTAACTCCTTCCCCCCAAGTTTTGGATCTATCTGGCCCCGCTCCCCTTTGGCCTCTTTCTAGGCAGGTGGCAACCGGAAGCAGTGGGGATGGCTGGCCCATCTGGGTCCATCTTCTGCCAGAAGTCTTCCACCCCAGTTGTACTCAGTACCCTGTCCCCCCTCCCCCCCAAGCTGGAAGCTCAGAGGCTGCAGAATTGGAGCAGGATTTGAGTGCTGGGAGACCCCCATGGCAGCGACTCCATTGCCTAGCACCTAGTCCTACACCTGCCCCTGCAGCTGGCAAGAGTAACATCAGATCCCAAAGGGTTAATGCCAAGCTGAGCACCTCACTCAAAAATGTCACCCAACTTGTTTCCCTGGGGCAAGGGGGGCGCGGCTTCCTGCCAGGAACTGCTAGAAAAAGCAGCCTGTGGTTTAAGGTGCAGGATGGGCCAAGGATGCTTGGTTCTAGCCTCAGCTCTGTGGGGGCTGGGGGCTAGTGGTTAAAGCAGGGCAGGCCGGGCACCAGAACTCTTGGGTTCTAGGAAGGGAAATGGTGGGGTCCTGGAGTGCCTGTCACAGCCAAGTGCTCAGCCCCTCCCTCTCCAGTGCTTTTCCTGCCCAACTCCTACCTTTCCTGACCAGCATCATGCTAGGCTGTCCCCCTCCCCCGCAGGTGCCCTCCCCTCTCTGGCTGGGAATGAGCTGTCAGACTGGCGCCTCAGAGCTGTAAATGCCATTGAGAAAGCGGCTTTGTGTGTGGCTGGGGACAAAGCAGAGCCTGTCTGGGGCTGGGGGCGTAGGGCAGATGTTATGGCTGCAGAGTCTGCTCTCAGAGCTGCCCTAAGTGTGGGGGAGGAGGGCACCCACCAGGGCAGGGTCCCCTTCCTTCTAGCCCTGCACAGAGTCCCTAGCCCTTTTCAGCCTGCGCTACCTGCTCTTCCTCAATCCTCCCTGTAGGGGCTCATCTGCAAGGCCTGGCCTAGGCGGAAGTAGGGCTCCGGTCCTCGTCCAGGGAGGGGCGGGGTTGGGGGGGAGTGGCTCCAAGGAGCAGGTGCAGTCCAGCCCCTTCTCCCTGGTGTCAGCTTCCCCTTCTCTCAGGGCTGGGTATTAGAGGTCTTCAGGGCTCCATTCCATGTGGGAAGGTTGGAAGCCAGGACAGACTCCTGGGTTCTGTCCCTGCTCTCGGAGGACAATGGGGTCTAGTGGTTAAAGCAGGGGACCTGGTTTGGGAGGCAGGGGCCTGCCCAAGTGGCTGGATCTAACAGTTCTGATGCTTCCCTTGCTAGATGAGACCATCTCAGCCTTGCACCCTGACCGGCTGGCGAGCCTGGAACTCCGACTGCAGAGCCAGGAGGAGGAGCTGACGCTGGTGAAATCGGCCCTAGCTGACGCGCTGCGGAGACTCAACCTCTACGACCGGCAGATCCCACTCCTCACGCAGCAGCTGCTGACAGGTGGGATGAACAGGACCTTGGAACTGAGCTGGGAGTCTAGCAGGGGGGCTGCAGGGAGCAGGGCAGGAGCGCTGGCTATGGGCCAAGCTCTGGGTTACTCCACCCCAGGTTCTCCCAGGCCTGTAGGGGCTGGAGCAGGAGCAGGAGCAGTCAGGGCACTGGGAGCACAGCGTTAGTGGGATCTGAGGAGTTGGGGCCTTAAAAGGGCTGACGTTTCTCTGTCATTTCCCTGCAGCAAATGATGCCATCCCAGACGCCCAGCAGTTCCTGGACTCTTCACCTGGCCATGGGGTATCCTGGGTCCAACTCACCACCAGCTACAGGTACCACTCAGATGTTGCACTTGACCCAGGGACATCTTGCTTAGGGATGGGGGGCTGGAAGGCCGCACTGGACTGTGAGGCAAGCAAGACCCTGACGTTCAGGTTTAGTACTGAAAAGGGAAGGAGTGTCAGGTACTGGCGAGGGGACCCCAAGCCCAGCTCCCCAGAGGGGAATGTAGAGGGGATGGGGGCAGAGGGGGTATTTTGAGGAGAGCAGTAGGCATGGACCATTGGCGAGTTACAAGGGGGCAGCTTTGGGGAGTGGGAGTGAGGCACTTCAGAGGCCTCCCAGCCCATGGAGCGTGCTCTCAGCCCATGCTGTGATACTTCTGTTCCACAGCCCAGTGCCTGCATCAGGAGTCGTGCGCCATGAAGAGCTGGGCGCAGGGAACCCACGGGGCGCCCCCATCAGCACTGGGACCCAAACGGACGAGTCAGACCTACTGGGCATGAAGTGGGGCTGGAGCCACAGCCATGAGACCCCTCCAGGGACCGGGGTTGAGGCAAAAGAGCCAAATGCTCTGGGGATGCCTCTCAGTCTTCCAGGCCTGGCCCAGTCCCCAGTGGCCCAGCCAATCCCAGCCCCTGACAAGCTGGGAACAGGCTCCCCGCAGGACTCCTCCAAGTCTCCCCATGACTGTGAAGAAACTGCCCCACTTCTGGGCAGTGCAGATGGCAGCCAGCCCCTTGAGAGTCCGTCCCACAGGGAGGAGATGCTGTCCCCAGAGCCTCCATCCGAGGGGAGCAGCAGCAGCAGTGCCACAGTTTCTCCAGTGCCAGCGGTCCATGCCCTGAAAGGCACCAGGAAAGAGCTGTACGTAGGGGACAGAGCAGGCACTGGAACACCTGCTTTCTACTTTCAGCTCTGGGAGGGGAATGAAGTCTAGTGATTAGAACAAGGTGTGGGAGCCGGGGCTGTGGGTGGGGATTGGGGTCTAGTGAGTGAGTCTGTTTATGGGGGCCAGAGGGTGGGGGTGAAGGAAGCTGTCTGGAAACCAGCACTCCTGGGTTCTATTTCTCAGCTGATGTGGCCAACTGTATGCCCCAGTGCAGCTTGTGCCATGGGGTTGGTAAAACTGGATTCCGTGTCTTCTGCTCCCCTGCCCCGGAGGAGCTGGAGTGGGGAGATTCCCAGAGGGAATTGCTGAACAAAGGGCTCCTGTCTCCCCTTTGCTTGAGCTGGGCTGTGGGTGCATTGATGTGGGGAAAGGGCATTCATGTGGGGGTGTCCCTGCTTTGGGGACTGGGATGTGGGCCATGCAGACCCCTCCCCAGTGCATGTAGTTAACCCTTTGCTGACTGTCTTCTCTTCCCTTAGCCTGCGCAGGAACAGTTCCTCGGACAAGGCCGATAAGGCGAAGGCCCGGCAGCACCTCAGCAAGAAGGCAGCGTCCTCTGCCAACCTGCTCTCACGTTCCAGCAGCCTTGAGAAGTAGGGACTTTCCACCTCCCACCAGTGCCCCCTGCTGGGCACACCCTGCCCTCCATGGCCATTCCTCACCCCCCTCACTCACACTCTGCTCTCCAGGCGATCCCTGCTGGGAACATTCCCTCTCATGCAAAAACTCTATAAGAGCAATGAGAAACTGAAGTTACACACACACACATACACACACCCTACACCTCTTGTTGCTGGGAACAGCTCCCACATAGAGCTCCTCCTGATTCACACCCCAGTTAGAGCCGGGACCCAGACTCCCTACAGTGCCCCCCTGCTGATGCTCTGCTTTTCCCTTCTAGCCGGATGAAGGACCCTAACCTGAGCCCAGGTGAGCTGCAGGGAAGCTGAGTGAGGCTTAGTGCCTGGGAGTGTCATTCCACTGGGCTCTGCAGCCCCTTGCCCTGCTCCTTCCTCCCACTACACATGTCCCAGAATCTCCTGATGCTCCCTGTTTCCTTGCAGGACCTTTGGGGTCTCGGCGTGGGAACTACAACCTTGGTGAGGCAGCTGGGGCAGACAGTGGGGGCTGCCCTGGGTGGCCGGAGGCTGAGGGGATACGACCCAATGCATGTTTCTGATGGGGTTTGTGGGGTGATGTACTTGGGAGCTGGGTGCCTGCAGGGAGTGAGGTGTGGGCTGGGAGGGGGCAGCACAGGGGCTGATGCTGTGGAAATCAGGCATGTGGGGCTGGTGTATGGAATGGAGTATGGGGGCTGGGCACAACCTGGGGGTGGGATGGGTGGGCTGAAAGTGGCAGGGGTTGGCTGGGGTAGCACCTGTGGGGGATGGGCCTGGGCAAGCTGCTTGGAATGAACCTGGAGGTGGCTCTGGCTGTGACCTGCCCCCCTCCCATCCCCCTCTCTCAGAGGGCCTCTCAATCAAGATGTTCCTGCGAGGCCGGCCCATCACCATGTACATACCATCGGGCATCTCCCACTACGAGGAGCTGCGTTCAGAGCTGCCTGCTGAGCACCTGCAGCTTGACTGGGTGTATCCTTCAGCCGGCAGCCCCACCTCCCTGCCCTGCCCCAGACAGCACTATTGCCCATAGAGGGTGCTGCACTTCGTGTCCCCCTGCACCTCCACAGGCTATGCTGCACCCCCATCCAAAGGCCACTGCCCCCCCTCTGTCTCCCAGCCCTGGGTCTGGTTGTCTTGGCCCCCTCGTACCTCCCTGTGTTCCTTGACGGGCCTGCCCAGCTATGGGTACCGTGGCCGGGACAGCCGCTCCAATCTTTACGTGCTGGCCTCCGGGGAGCTGGTTTACTTCATTGCATGTGTGGTGGTGCTGTACCACATCCAGCACCGCAACCAGCGCCACTACCTGCGCCACACTGACTGTGTGCGATGGTGAGTGCACGGGGGACACCGACATTGTGCGAGGGGGAACGAAGGCTGGGGCATGGGAACACTGACTGCAGGGGAAGGGAAGTACATTGGGGTGTAGACCAGTAGGGTGACCAGATGTCCCAGTTTTATAGGGATGGTCCTTATATTTGAGGCTCTGGCTTATATAAGTGCCTATTACCCTCACTCCCAGCCCAGGTCCCAGTTTTTCACTCTTGCTGCCTGGTCACCTACAGAGCAGCTGGGGGGCACCAACTAGAATGGAGGAAGAGCACACGGGGCTACAGACTGAGGTGGAGAGTGCGGGTGCAGGAGCACTGACTGCAGCAAGGGCACACAGCAGGTCCCAGGCTGGTCTCTCCAGCCCGTGGGTTTCTGAGGCAATAACCCTGCTCCCTGTGTCTCTCCCCTGCAGCCTGGCCGTGCATCCTGACAGAGTGCGTGTGGCCACAGGGCAGACTGCTGGCGTGGACAAGGATGGCAAGGTACCCACCAAGGGGGGATGGACCCTGCAGGGCTGCCCCAGAGTGGGATTTAGGGGAGTCCCAATGAGCTAGCTTCCTAGAGGCCAGGGACCTTACTACAGGTCCCTGACCCCCGCCAGCTCCCGTGTCTGTCCCTGTTCTGACCTGTTGCCTCTCTTGCAGCCCCTGCAGCCCTTTGTGCACATCTGGGACTCCTCCACGCTGCTCACCCTACAGCAGATCGGCCTGGGGAGCTTCGAGCGGGGGGTTGGCTCCCTTGCCTTCTCCACGGCTGTGAGTCCAAGTGCTAGCCCTGCCCCCACTTGCTTCCCTGTCCTCTTTTTCTCTATCCGCAATTCACATCCCTCCCCCATTGCCCCACCCGAGCTTGGCTCCTGGCCCCCTGGCCGGAGTGATCTGGGTCTGAAGGGACAGAGTGAGGGCAACTGGCTTCAGCAGTGTTACTGAGCATGCTCTGTACAAACCAAGCAGCAAATCTAGGGTGCACACACACACACACATCATCAATGCCCCCCAGGGGCTCTGGACTTGGGGCTGCCATCGGGGCAGGGTAGCCTGACAGGAGGCAACCCTGCTGGAGTGCCCCCAGTTCCCTCTCTGCTCCCAGTCCCTGTCTGCCCTGGCTATGCATTTGAGAGAGAGAGGAATTTTTGTCTCCTATCCAGCCCCCCCACATTCCTTGCATGTTCTCCAGGCTCTTGGGTCCCCACATTCCCTCTCATAAGCCCGGGCTCCTCCTTGAGGGGCCCCACTGGTAATGATCCTGCCTGGCTGCTATCCGCAGGATCAGGGGGCCTATCTGTGTGTGGTGGATGACTCTAATGAGCACATGCTGTCGGTGTGGGACTGCGCCCGTGGCACCAAGCAGGCCGAGATTAAGGTGAGCCAGGTTCAGCCCCCTGGGCTGCGTAGCATGGTGGCGGGGTTGGGGGAGGGAACCAAGGAGTCCTGATTTCCTGTCCTCATCCCTCCTCTCACTAGCCACTCTCCTGTCAGAGCCAGGAAGAGACCCTGGGTGCTGGGCTGCTACCCTCGCTCTCCTCCCCTGGGTGACATTGCAATGGGACAGGTCCTGTGCTGCTCCTGCTTTCTGGGTGCCATCTCCATGGCAACCTGTGAATATTTGAGGAGATGAAGTCACTATGCTGTTCCCCCGGCCCCCCATACAGGGACCCTGGGCCAGGCAGCCGTGAGGCTACGCTGTGCATCCTGAGGATAGAATTGGCTGTGGGGGGAGGACACTTCTGGGCTGGAGAGGCCCCTAAATCCCAGCTAAGCACTCCCACCACCTGGACAACCCTTGCCCTACTCCCCAGTGCCATCCATTGGTGGGAAAGGAGCAGTGCAGGGGTCTAACCATCCCCCACCTTGGGAGGTTCGATGTAGAATCCTGCTGGGAATCCCCACACGCCCTTGTCCTTGAGGCTGCCGACTGTCCTGTCATGCTCCTCTCTTTTCCCTCTCCAGAGCACCAATGAGTCCGTGTTCACAGTGGAGTTCAACCCCCTGGACAGCAGCAACTTCATCACCAGTGGGAAATCCCACGTTTACTTCTGGACCTGGAGCGGCAGCACTCTGAGCAAGAAGCAGGGCATCTTTGGGGTGAGGGGGCTGGAGAAGGGGGCAGTGCTTGGCCCAGCCTGCGACAAGGGGTCTGGGCTGAGCCTGGCTAGGGAAAGGGTCTGGGCTCAGTCCTCTCTTGACTGAGGGGCTCCCCCCCCTTGATTCACTTCCCCCTCTCCATTTCCAGAAGTACAAGAAGCCCAAGTTTATCCAGTGTTTTGTGTTTGATGCCAACGGGGATGTGCTGACTGGGGACTCGGAGGGGAACATCTTGACCTGGGCACGCACGGCTGCTGACATCCGCACGCTGGGCAAGGGCGCCAAAGGTATTGGGAGAGGTTTTGTACACCCCCCTGGGCTGGGGCCCGTAGGGTTTCCAGTTTTGGTGGGACCTATTCCTGGAGTTTCACATAATCTTGTATTAAAGATTAATTAATTCCTGGAGATTCAAAGAGAATCCTGGAGGGTTGGCAATCCTATCTGAGGGAGGCCTGCACAGATCCCTGGATTGAGGGGGCAGGGTTTCTGGGCTGGAACCCCTGAGCTGAAGAAGGCTTGTACAGACTTCTGGTCTAGAGGGGCAGGGACCCCAGTCTGTTCCCCTGGTGTGGGAGGAGGTGGGGTGAAGAGAATCTGGCACTGACAAGCCCCAGGAGATGTGTGTGGACAAAGCAGTTGGGAGGATGAGGGTGGTGGGGGACATTGCATCGGAGGGGATGCTGGATCCCCTGGATTGAGGGATGTGCGGGGAGGGCCCAGCAATGACTCCTCCCCCCCACACACATTGCAGAGACATACCAGATCGGGCGTCAGACCCGGGCACACGAAGGCAGCATCTTCTCACTCTTCCTGCGGCACGATGGCTCAGTGCTTAGTGGTGGGGGGAAGGACCGGCGCCTCGTGCACTGGAGCCCCAGCCTTGCACTGCTTCAGGAGGTGGAAGTAAGGGGAGCCCTCAATCTGCATGGGGTCAATTGGCTCCAATCCAAAGTGTGGGGCAGGGTAGAATCTGCATGCGACGGGTGAGATTGAGCAAAGGGGATTCACGGGATTGTGGGAGGTAGGGGTGGGGCCAGAATGTGCCAGTGTTGGAGGGGGTTGGGCAGAGAGATCTGTTGGGCAGGGGATCGCTTGGGCTTGGACATGGGGATTTGCCTGTGGGATCCGCTGGCGAGGGGTGGGAGGAAGGTGTTTAGATGTTATGAGAGATCTGCAGTGGGTGAGGGTGGGGCATCCGTGGGGGTGGGCGGGGAGTGTTTGGGTGTTGATGGGGGGCTGTAGTGGATGGGGGGGGAATCTTCAGAGGTGTGTGAAGAAGATTTGGAGGGGTGAGGGGTCTATAGTGGGTGGGAGTGGACAGGGAGTTTTGGAGTGGTTGGTGAGGGAGCAGCAGTGGCTGTGGAGGAGGATCTGCAGGGGTGGGCAGAGGGTATTTGAGGGGATCTCTGAGGTGAGGATGGGGGAATTACAGGGGCAGGCAGAGGGTGTTTGGAGGTGCTATAGGGGTGTATGGGGGCCTGGTTGGGGGACTAGAAATCAGGGTGGGAGTTCACAGACAGCAGGGGTGTGTTGGAGGCATGGCAGGAGGCCCTGGAAGGGTATGTGCAGGAGGGGAAGGGGTCTATAGGAGCCATGTGGGGAGGATCTGTGACTCCAGATGAATCAGCCCCTTGTGCCCCCAGATCCCGGAGCAGTTTGGGGCTGTGCGCACCATCGCTGAGGGCCCCGGGGACGAGCTGCTGGTTGGGACTACGCGCAACGCGCTGCTCAGGGGCAGCCTGGGCACTGGCTTCACCCCCATTGTCCAGGTGCGTGGGGAGCTAGATTCTGGGCAGCTACAGAAACTGCACGGCCATGGGATGGCTTGGGAAAGAGGGGCCTTGGGAATAGTATGGGGGTGCAGCAGAGTGGTGGGCTGGGGAAAGCAGAAGGGGTCTGATGGGATGGGGAGCAGCATGCAGTGGGGTGAGCTAGGCCCCTGTCTGCCTCTATCAGGTTCTTCCTGGTTGCAGGGTCATACGGACGAGCTGTGGGGCTTGGCCACCCACCCCTCACGGAGCCTTTTCCTCACCTGCGGGCATGACAGGCAGGTCTGCATGTGGGACAGCGGGGAGCATACAGCGGCCTGGAGCCTCACCCTGGAGGTATGGCCCAGAGGGGATGGGGGAGCTCGTGGAGGTACCGCCCGGAGGGGAAAGGGGAACCCATGGCAGCCTGGAGCCATACCCTAGACATACCACCTGGGGTGGATGGGGGGGCTTACGGTGGCCTTGAGTGTCACCTGGAGGTACTGCCTGGGGTGGGGGAGGGATGCAAGGCCTGGAGCCTCACCTGGAGGTACCACCTGAGGGGATGGAGCGTGGGGGAAGAGAGTCAATGACCTTACAGTGTATCTCTCCCCCTCTAGGAGACTGGGCTCTGTGCTGATTTCCACCCCAGTGGCAGGGTGGTGGCCGTGGGACTCAACACTGGACGGTAACTCCCCACCACCCCCCATTACTCCCTTTCTGGCCCCTTAGGGGTGCTTGGCAGCCCTTCCCACCCCATTGGAATCACACCCAGCGAACGGCGGATGCTGGTGGCCCTGCAAGCAACACCGTGAGATTCGGGCTGTGGCCCCCATTTCCTGAGTCTGGCCCTCCAGGGATTAAGGGGTCACTGAGTTTGCCCCCAAGGCCGGACCTCCTCTCTGTTGCCCCTGTTCCCTGGGGTGGGGTCGGTCCTCTGCGTGCCTCTGCATGTTTGGCACCTTGGGAGCTCTGACCCTGCCCTGTGCCTCCAGGTGGATGGTGCTGGACACAGAGACACGGCAGGTGCTGTCATGGGGCTCGGATGGGAACGAGCAGCTCTCGGTGGTGCGGTATTCGCCAGGTCAGACCCTCATGCCTCCCTGCCCCGCTCCCCTCCCCAGCAGGCCCATTCTGACTAGATTCCTCCCCTACTGCAGCTCTGGCTCCCTCCAGCCCCCATTTTCCTCATGTTGCTGAGACAGCAAGTTCCTCCCATTCTCCCCCATTCCTGCACCCCCTCCACTGCCCCCCCTTTTGCACACAGATGGCCCCATCCCACCCCTCTTTCCCCCCCCTGCAGATGGTGAGTTCCTGGCCATTGGCTCCCATGACAACTTCATCTACATCTACAGCGTGGGGGAGGGGGAGCGCAAGTACAGCCGCTTCGGTCGCTGCACGGTGAGGGGGCGCTGCTGGCTGTAGGGGGGGCAAGAAGAGAGGGTTGTCAGAAGGAGGCTGGGAGTGATAGGGGCTACTGGGGCAAGGGTAAGGGAGGGAAGAGAAGAGAGAGTTTCAGGGGGGCTGAGAATGGGGGAAGTACTGGGAGCCGGGGGTGTGTGATTCCAAGCCCTTGGGTTGTGCATCCTTGGGAGGCACCTCAGGCTGGGGAGGGGATTCTTGAGTACCTGGCTTTAAAGTCCCATTTTCTTCCCTCTTGCTCCAGGGACACTCCAGCTTCATCACCCACCTGGACTGGTCCAAGGACAGCAAGTTCATCATGTCCAACTCAGGAGACTACGAGATCCTCTACTGTGAGTGCAGGGAAGGCATGTACTCAGGAGCCCCTCACCCTGGTGCCGGGGTGTACGTCCTCCTCATTGTGCCTGGGCCCATCCATAAGCATCTGTCATGGGGGAGATAATTCTGGTGCCCTGAGACAAGGCTGTGCGTGGTCCCCTGGTGCCTAGGCTAGGAGTTGCACCTTCATGTGGCAGTGCCGGTCACTGCAGCTGACCCTAACCCTGCATGTCTCTGCCTCCTTTGCAGGGGATGTGGCTGGCGGCTGCAAGCTGCTGAGGAATCGCTTTGAGAGCCGTGACCGGGAGTGGGCGTCATACACCTGTGTGCTGGGCTTTCATGTTTTTGGTGAGGGTTGGGAACCATAGGGTGTGTAGGGAGAGGATGAGTGTCAGGAACGGGAAAGGAGAAAAGTGTAGCCGGGAGGGAAGGAACCCAGAGCTTCCAAGAGCCACAGTCAGGAAGAGGCACTAACAGCTAGTGCATATCCTGTATCTGCTCCGCAGGTGTGTGGCCGGACGGCTCAGAGGGTGCCAAGAGCCACGGTCAGGAAGAGGCACTAACAGCTTGTGCATATCCTGTATCTGCCCCGCAGGTGTGTGGCCGGACGGCTCAGATGGCACAGACATCAACTCCCTGTGCCGCTCCCACAATGAGCGTGTTGTCGCTGTGGCAGACGACTTCTGCAAGGTGCATCTGTTCCAGTACCCCTGCGCCAGGGCCAAGGTGAGACTGGCAGGGATAGGGGAGTTTAAGCCCTGAACCCATGCCAAAATGAGAGGAGGCACACAAGGGGAAGGATTAACTAGGGATTTTGTTTGCTCTTCTGCTCATTCACTGGGTATTGCCCTGAGAGTTTGGGGACCAGAGATGCCCAGAGGGTCTTTGACATGGGGACATCCCAGGGGATCAGGAAGTCTCTATGGGATCTTGGGCAGGGGAATCTCTGTCTGAGTTTGGGGCAGAATAGGGGGGTCTCATCTGGGTATCACGGTGGTTCTGGGAGGTCCTGGGTGTAGTGGCAGAGCCCAAGGGCCTGGACCAGAGGTTAGGGAACAGCCTGGAGGTGATGGGATTTCATCAGTAGCCCCTACCCCTGACCCCACTCCTTGTTTTCTCTTGCAGGCGCCCAGCCACATGTATGGGGGCCATGGGAGCCATGTGACTAACGTGCGCTTTACCAATGATGACAGCTATCTGATCTCACTGGGGGGCAAGGACACCAGCATCTTCCAGTGGCGAGTGCTGGGGGGCAGCCTCACCCATAGCTGCTCGCTCTCTTCTGCTTCCCTATCTTCCCAGGAGGCAGGAGGCTGTGTCTGAGCCGGAGATGCTACAGGGACCAAGCCTCATTGCCTGTAGGCCTGGACAGCCCTGGCACATGAATCTCAGTGAGCGAGGCCCAGCCAGAGGGTTCCCTACCCCCTGGCACTAACACATGCTAATAATGCGACCTGATTCATTAACACTGGGGAAAAGGCCTAAATTCTGCTCAGGGCCTGGTACAGGTCAGAGTGGTGAGGCAGGGCCAAGGGCCTGTTGGCAGCTCCCACCACTGGGGCCCAGGGGCTCATCTGGGAGGGTGTTGGGATTGGGACTCTTGCTTTGGAGGCAAGGGATGGGTCTGGCAGGGGAACTCATGGGTCAGGGAACTGCAGGATGTGTTAATGGAGGCAGCATGGCCTTAGGGTTGGGGCTGTCCATACCCACCCTTGTTCCCCATGGTGGAGCAGTAGCCCCATTCCCAGAATGTGTATGTGTGATGGGACCTGTCCACCTGGGGGCACTCTCCTCTCTAGGGGCCTGAGGGCTGCCCCCAAACCTGGGACCAAGCCTGGAGAAGCAGGACACTGCTCTCTCCACTTTGTTTACATTCCCAGCTGCGCCAGAGCAGCAAGACGCTGAACACTGTGAGAGGCAGCAATAAAGCCTTGGCATCAGGGGCTGGGCTCCCGTCTCTTTCCTTCCAGGGGTGGGGAGCAAGCAAATAACAGTGGTAGGGGGCAGCTGGACAGAAGGTTGTATGCAGGGGCCACAGCAGTGGGGTGGGGAGAGGAAGGCATGCAAGGGGCAGCAGGGTGTGGGGCTAGTCTGCATTAGGATGGCACAAAGACCACATTTAACAGCCTCAGAATGGGGGTGAGGGGAAGCAAATGAGGCTTTTGTTCCGAGGGGGAAACGAGAGATTTAGTTCCCTAAATCCAGTGGAATACAGAGAAAACATTTCCACCTCTCTTTTGGGACACTGGGATTAGTGCAGTGGTGCTCCACTCCAGAGTTGGCTGCATCTCACCTCGGTGTAGGACTCCGCTGCAGGTGGTGAATTCTTGGGTAAATGAGTGGCTATTTTGGTCTAAACATGTCTAAAACTGCACCTGTATGTATGGAAATAATTCTAGTGCAGTTGAGGCTGTTGGGAATTGCCCCTTGAACGGGGGGCGGGGCAACCTTGAGCCCTTCGGAGAAGAAAGGGTTAAAAACCCAGGGCTTGAAGCTCCCTCCGAAAAGGCCCGAGCAGGGCAGACCGTGTCCGGAAATAACCGAAAGTTTCAGTTTCCGGATTTACCCGACGTCCTGCTCGGCGCCGGCCATCTGGAGTCACTGTCCGGAAGGACCCGATCGCCGAGAGGCTTTAGTCGACGGTGCCCGAAGCTTCGCCAGGTGCTTTCGGAAGTACCCGAACGGTTCCGGAGAAACTCGATCTCACGCGGAACATCCCGAAGCGCTGCCGGAGTCTCATCGGGTATTTCCGAGTCTTGCCGATCCTTTTCCGGAAACCACCGAAGCGCT